ATGGCGGCCCTGTGGAAAAGATTATTGGCGTTAGCGACAATTGTGAAATATTAAGGGACTTGAGATATAACTTAAAACGTAAATAAAAACCCGACTTTTCCTCCCCACCCTATGTAAAGGCTTTAAAGAAACAATCGGACACACCCAGATCCGTTTCACAAAAATGAAAAATCGGTTTTAAACGTTTGGGCCAAATTCGTTTTAAAATACAGTTCCTAAAATTTCTTTAATTCAGTCGCACTTTTATCGGCCAAACCATTTCATAGATGAAGACGGCAAACGAACTGATTTATATTTAAGTGAATGTTTCGCTCTGAATCTGATAAACTGTCCAGATGCATCGTTTGTTCGTTCCTGGAGTATTACGTCCACTTCCACCTAAGGTGATATCGCAAACAAACCAGATGCATGGATGTAATTTAGTTTTATCCCAGCTACACTTAAGAATAACCAACCAATCACAGATAACCTGATAAACAACCTTTTCAGAAGAAGACAGTCTTCAAAACTGAAAGACTTCAATCAGTTTTCCTATTCAATTATACGAGTAATATTGAGAACTAAACCCACATAAAGACTAAAACATTTCCACCATAATCCTAACAATACAATTCTAGATGCATACAATATATAATCCACCACCAAAACATTTATACAAATTTATATTGGCTTAAAAACAAAACTATACTTATTCAAAAGGTTCATTCCCATATCGCCGACTCACCGAGTTTTAGGGGAAAAATTTTGGTCGACGTTATGGGAATGAGTGGCCAAGAACAATAGACCCAAGCTGAAGGATAAACCTCATTAAGCAGATAATTTTGGGAGCATTTATTTTTTTTTTAATTTATAATACATAACATAACACAATTTTAAATTTTTGCACGCAGTCCAAAATTCTAATAAATTCAGTCTTCCTTGTTCATATCTAGAACATCGTTATGCACTCTAAGGAGTGCGGTTTCAGTGCTATGCCCCTCTCGATAAGCAGACTGGAATTTACCGACCAGTGAGTTTCGATTGAGATAATCTATTATTTGAGATAAAATGATCTTTTCAAGCAATTTTGCTAAAAATGAAATATTTGACACTGGTATATAACTTTTGAGTGCATTACGGTCAAGACTTGTTTTTTTAATCAGAGGTCTTACAATGGCCTCCTTACAGTCATCCGGAAAATACCAGAGGAGAGCACATCATTTATAATAATCGTCAAAGCTGGTGCTATTTCATCCTGACACTCTTTTAGTAGTTTTGTAGGAATTGGGTCCAGAGCACATGACTTACACTTCATTCGACACACCACTGATATTACATCATTCAATGGCTCAAAAGCAGAGAAATTACACTTGGGTGGGACATTAATGTCAGTGTAAGGGGGGGAGTCAACAAACTTTTCACGAATTTTAATAATTGTTTCGGCAAAAAAGTCAATAATGGTCTGTGGTAAAAATCAATTTCAGTGAACTATATTAATAATGACTGGTCCCTGCCTCATTAACGCTTTTAATCCGTTTTAATCCAATCAAAGGGTGCCGCGGTCGACTTTCCAAAACTCGGTGAGTCGGCGATATGGGAAGACCCCATTCAAAACACCAACTAATAAAGACACGGCCAGGCCATTCATTAACAACTTACAATTGACAGTCTCAAAACACAACCGTTACAATTCGCATTGTGACGGCTTCGTTAGATCATTAACCCTTTCGTGGCCGATGGGTCAGAAATTGGCTGAACACCATAAAAAGACAATAATGGTGGATTTTAACGAAATTGCTTTGCAGGGGACAGTGTTTAGTGGTTCGGAGATGATGAAAAACTGGGCCTGTGTACATTTTGTTGTGCACGTAAAAGAACCCTTGGCAGCTGGACGTCGAAAAAGAGTAAAAGAAAACGCCGCTGGCCGAACAAAATCTCCCTCGTAAGATGGCTGTATAAATTACAGTGTAGCGGTTATTATTTTAAAATATCTCCAATAATATTCATCCAAACGTTACCATTTTTCGATATGACAAGTACCATATATAAATATATTTAATACTCGTATGACATTGAATGATATCAATAACAGAAACAACAAATGCCATATTTCGGTTCTACATTTTATATTAAAAACTGCTACATATAGGTTACATAGTTACAAGCATTATAATAAAGTCATTCTCTCAAACTCCATTCAGCCAAACTCGGCGAGTCTGCTGATAGAGAAACGCTACATCCTCTCCCTTCGAGAACTACATGGCTGTCTGCCATAGCGTCCAAATCCAGTTACTTGTTTATGCCGAGATTTCCGCTACTAATTATTCAATTGGCCAAATATTACGTAATTTTAATCATGTGGTTGGTCATGCCTCATGCCTTGCATACCAATAGGGTCTCATTACCAAATTTGGTCAACAGGTCACATGCCATTAAGATGACGTATGATAAATGTGTTTATTAACCTATAGTTCAATTCATGTATCATATCAGCACAGATTTCCCTTCTGTTTTCCTCACAATATTTCATAACCAATTTAATTTGCGTTTTAAATAAACTCATACCATAACTAATATACTGACAATGGAGAATAGAAATAAAACATATGTAATTATCAAATTATAACTCATATTCTCTGGTGCACTTATATTCGTCTAATACAATTTCGCATAAATTATCAAATAGTATTACAGTATATATAACATTAGGACTCAAAGTATTTTTGGTGTAAAAGTGTAAGGGTCTATCTACCTAATTTTATGTATGGGTCCAAGTTTTCTTCTAGTGACCTCAGCCCTGTCGTGGAGAGTGGGTATAGAGATCAGTTGATTTCTTCTTTTTTTTTTTTTTTTTTAAAAATGTAGTTTTCGTTGCTTTAATTACGCATGTAATAACTTTGTTTTGGATAATTTATTCTTCTTCAGGGCGAAAAACATTGACCTGTAGAATCATAAGAATCATTGAAAAAAACATTGCATTTTTCAGCTATTTTGGTGACCATTATTAAATTCTGGCAACCATTTTTTTTTATCAGTATGTGAATTTCCCGAAAGTTTTAAATCAGAGGTTAGGTCACGATCTTGATAGCCTACATGAAGAACACATTATGCTCTGAAACCAACAGAAGTTAAGGTTCTATTTAATCATTGGAAATTAATTGACCCCTGCTCTTATGATTGTGATTGAGGGTGACAACTGATCTTGATATTTTGTTAATACGGTTACGTGCAATCATGTTTATTCCGATAGGTACATATTAATTTCAATGTTTTCTTCTCATAAGTCAACAAAATTTCGAAATCTCACAAAATATTCAAGTTTTATTATTTTTCAACATTTCAACAATAAATCATCTATAACATCTTTCAACATCTGATAAATATAAATTTCTTCTGGCAGAGAGACTGAGTGAATGAGATTCGCTGTAAAATAAAACAATAGAAACATTTTTAAGTAGCCTATCACAAATCAAAAGAGTTTCATGGATTATTTATCGTCAATAGGCCTACAATATGTAGTTATCTCTCTTGAATCAATATTTCTCAACTTTTTGTCTGTTATTCTATAGCAAAATGGTCCTGCAGGGGTCAGAGATCAAATCACAAAATTTTCCAACAACTTGATATTTTACAGTTTGTCTACGAAGCTTTTATACCTTAATTCTAAAAAGGAATGGTCTAAATGGATGAGCATATTTAACCGGTGACTTTTCCTGAATTCAAAACCTAGGCTATTCATCTATTATATAAATTTCTACAATTTTCAATATCTCTCAACAGTGTTGTGCCTTGATTTCCCAAAAATTCAATACGACTGTGTTGCTAAGCAACATCATACGGTTCTGGTTCTAGCCTACTAACATTGCTCAAATAATTTTTTTTTATACCGGTAGGAGTCATTATGCATAATGATGACAGCAATATTCAAAAATAGTATAATCTGATTCGAAAGATGAATATTTACAAATGACCAATCAAACAAATCAAGCTAAATTGTATTTTATTTTAATAATTGTCAGGGAAATACGTCGATCTGGCCTTCAAATAATCTTAAACAATCACGTATGGTGTGTGTATGAAATAATTAGTACTGGGTATTTATGTTGTTTTTTCCAACACATTATTAGGTCCAACACATATTTAAACGAAGAAATTTACCTAGCAAAGATTTTGGGTTATTTTTGGACATTGCACTGGTCCTGTCTCGAAACTCCAAGGGGGATCCGACAGTCAGTGCTCTCTATTTTAAGTATTTAGATACAATTCAGTATATGACCCCAGAATGATAACAAATCAAGAAAGCAGTGATTTTCTAGACTGAAAATATACATTTTTAAAAATGGCTAATCTGATCTGCGATAACTTGTCAATTATTGAAAAATAGCACATGGCGTCAATGTTTTTAACGTTCTAATTCAATTACGTCTTTTGGCAAACGACCGTCGTCAAGTGACGTCATTCAGCAGACGACAGTCAACAAGAGATTTCATTTAGCAGAAGAATGTTGTGAAGACAGGTTGACTCAGTTGCAGAATTTTTTTCTTTCTTGTACATAATCTTGTACACGGAAATGTGGTCATATTACCGTTCGGCTATCAATCCGTCCGTCGTCCACAATTTAGTGAAACGATGAAGTCTATTTAATTACTTCAAGACTTAGTAGACTAGAGATGGTCGGTGTTTCACATTAGGCCTATAGCCTATCTATATGATATGGTTGAACCTTGTGAAAGCTGTAACGACTAAAGTATGTTTAATACATAGGTACGGTAGCCTTTATTTATAATCACTTGGTTTGATTACAATCTGTTCTGTGTCTTGTCAGAGTGGGGTTGTCTTCTGGGCTTTTATCAAATCTGGTCGTATATATATTGTCGTCACCCCAACGTGCGAATTCGCCTCCCGTGCGCCCCCTCCTGCCTGTGGTCCCTGGATCCGCTCTTTTGTTTCGTTGTCTGGCAGCCTATCTATGTTTAAATAGTACGGTTCAGCACTTACTAATATATATGTTTCTATTACAGATACGGATGATACAGATCACTTACTAATAGATGAAGAAAGCAAAGGGATGACAATTCCAGGTATGTCATTACGTTTTAGCCATTTTAATTTTAATTAATAATTAAAGAAATGGCAAGTAAGAGTGAATTTAGGGGTGGGGCAAACGCTGCGCCCCCCCCCCCCCCCGCCACTATGTCGATCCAGTGGACGCACTTTAAAACAGATTCTTGTCTCACTCAGGTCACTGGAAAAATGGTATTCCGGGTTTCTAGTTTTCGAAATTTTCCGCAATGGTCGCTGGATCCGCCCTTGGTGTGCGTATGTTTCGTTGTCTGGCAACCCATCTTTGTTTACATGGTACGGTTCTTCTGTACTTACTAATATATCTATCTTAGGAGGGGGTGCTCCTACGACTTCGCCGCGTGCGCCCCCTCCTGTCCATGGTCCCTGGATCCGCCCTTGGTGTGAGTTTGTTTCATTGTCTGGCAACCTATCTTTGTTCTGTACTTACTAATATATATGTTTCTATTACAGATACTGATGAAGAAAGCAAAGGGATGACAATTCCAGGTATGTCATTACGTTTTAGCCATTTTAATTAATAATTAAAGAAATGGCAAGTAATTTTCTAGTTGAAGTGTTTTTAAGCCAGGGTTGTATATCTTTCACATGTTGTGACAAACCATGGTCAAGGGTTATAAATATAATTAAAATAACTCAGGTGTATATCCTACTCGAAATTACCCCACCTGTACGTTCAGACAACAAAGATAACCTAGTTTAAAGATGGCCAGGGTTTTTAACCACCATCAGAACGATATATATGAACAGGTAATCAACTAGTATGAATATTATATAATTTCAGATGATGTTAAATATAGTCAGACATCTATACAAAACAATATGGCCACCACCATCACATCAACAACTCCATTATTAAACCAACCATTTGTTACACAAGATGTAAAAACAACTAACTATAATAAAACAACCGACAACAATAAAATGGACTGGGAATCAATACGTAGAACTTGTGAATATGGTACACTTGATGATGTCAACACTTTAATACATCAAAATATCGATTTAAATATTCCTGTCGATGATTATAATAGGACACCAGTATTTTATTGTGTATGGTCTAACAAACAGCCGTTAGATAAGATACAGTTACTCTTCTCTGCCGGTGCCATGTTACATCTTAAGACTCGTTATGGTCGTAGTTTATTACACTGGGCGTGTCAGTATGGTACAATAGACTGTGTAAGATATTTATTGGAACAAGGACTTCATACAAATGATAGGGATGATTATAATAAGACACCAGTATTTGATTGTCTTAGGTCTATCAAACAGCCGTTAGATAAGATACAGTTACTCTTCTCTGCCGGTGCCATGTTAGATGTTAAGAATGATGGTGGTAGTTTATTAGACCATGCTCGTGTGTTAGGTAAAATAGAATGTGTATCATATTTACGTGAATTAGGCCTTGATAAATAGAATATAAATGTCAAGTGTCGTGATTATGGTAGTTTATTAGACTGGACTCGTCGGTGGCGTAAATCAAAATGTGTATCATATTTATTTTAAATAGGCCTTGATAAATAGAATATAAATAATCATACAACATCTTTATTTTACTTGTTAATAATTCTGTTAGAACTAAATGATGAAGATGTTTTATTTTGATGTAAATTTTTAAATTTTGTTATAAACCATTTTCTGTCAATCAACAACATTCTGTACACAGACTGGCTACCTGTCAGCCATTAAAACTAGTAACACGTCATTACAAGTTTTTACAACGTCATTGGTTATTACGTCACAAGTCAATAGGTCACGTTAAATCTATTTATAAACAAATTGAAAGTAGTATTACCAGGTTGAATAACAGGAATAGAAAATCAACTGATGTGATGTTTTGGTGGTCATCAAAGTCAACTTTAACCCAATATTGTTTTAAATAACAACACAATGAATTATATTAACCAAGAGATATGATTGGAGAGGAATAGAATAATATTTGAAATGATGTTGAAAGAATATATTTACTATAGAAGGTAAGAAAAATTGATTTATTTTTCATTTTATAAATTGACATCCACTTTTCTCATGTCAGACTCGGGGTTAAATGATTAAAGCCTATTTGATTTCTAGAATATATCTCTCCAGATTTCTTTGTTTATATTTGTTGTTGTTTACCAGTAATCAAATGGAACTTGATTCTGTCTATCTTGACATAGACTCGTTATTTACGATTTTATTTAGAAATATTTTTTTTTGAATGGAGTGATACGGCAGACAAGTTTTAAATTCTGGTTTAGGGGGAGATTTACTATATTACTTAGAAATATTTGTAAATTGTTTATATTGAGTGATGGATAAGGCAGACTAATTTAAGGGGAGATAAATCAAAATAGAGTTATCCTTTGTGGATGATATAGAAATAGGATTTAATCCATTTGACCAACTGGTACTATTAAACAATTAGAATTTCTAAGAATTTAACCTTAAAATACAATAAATACAGTAACATTGATAGTTGTTATGTGTAAAAACACTACAAAATATATGTAAAAAATTGGAATAATGTTATAAATTGTATAAACAATACCTTGATAAGTTTTTAGCATCTTGTAAATATTCTCTCCATTATCTATGGAAGAAAACCTATGTTTTGTTTATGTTTTTCAGAGCTGCTGTATTCGAACATAAACCGTCATTAAAAGTTGTTTGTGATTATTTGATACGTGATTGTGTCAAGAGATATCCACTAGAAAACTGTCCACTGTTTTAGCTGAAGATCCTGAGGTAATGGTTTCTATATTTTGTCTAATAACCAAAGCGTATTAATTCCCTAACAACAAACTTGACAAAGACTGTATAATATTAATAATGGTTTAATCTAGGATGCAGCCGTTTATTATAAACTAGTTGAAAACACAAAAACTATTAAATCCAAAACTTTAAGTCAGAACAATTAGATAATGTGTGAAAAATATTTTATTTCAGAATCAATTGAAAGGTCGTAAAAATCAGATAGAGAGAGTTTATTGTGGTCATCTGTTTCATAATGGTTGTTTAGATACGTACATGAAAACACCTTCATTTATAGGTAAATATTTATAATACTGCTGGAAGTCATGGCGACCGTCTTCATTACCTCAGTTGGTGAAGAAAACTAAAACTTTACACCTGCTTAAATGATATGTTTATTTAGTGTTACTTGTGTCTTCTATTCGTTTTGTTTAATTTTTAAATTTGCTCGATATTCAAACCACGGATCTCACTTTAGATAGTTGACTGAAAATTAAAAGTGTATTCTGTTATTTGACTGAGTCAGAAACGCAAGGCTCCATATTGTACACATTGTCGTGCACGTAATAGAACCCTTGACAGACAGTTGGAATGTCGTGGAAGACTAGATGGGAATGTCGCTGTCTGAGTAAACTTTCCCTCATAGTACACTGTATGACGTATGTCGATCTTAATTAGTCCTGTAGAAGCAGAAAAGTAGGACGTTAAACCCCATGTCATGTTATATCACTTAATCTACATTTAAAATAAATAGTAACACATAATATAAGATTATGTTTGGGGTTTTTTTCAGGAGGTAAAAAATGTCCTTCCTGTGATAAACGAATGAAAAATGGAAAGTGTCAGCTGAAGTAATGGAGAATAGATGTGCACATAAACAAGCTAAACAAAGAGAACTAGAAGAAGTTGTAGATTTCTTTAAAAAATTGAAATAATTTAAAATATACCTCTACTTTTGTAGATAAACATACCAAATATGTATATTCCACAATCTTGGCTTCAAATTTACAAAAATATTTATTTACATTGTATTCAATGTCTGACATTTGAGATATTGAGGAATCCTTTACAAACTACAATATTGTAAAAATTGAATCTCTGGAAGGCGTGTCAGTATAAAAATATTCTGTTGAGTATTTTACAAAGATATGATAAATTAAAAACGTGTCAATATTCGGAATCTTCTACAGATGATATAAATGGGGTATGATCAAAAGTCAAGGCCACCTGTAATCTTCTGTTTTATCCGACTTGGGAGATTTTCTAACGTTAATTTTTCTTTCTTAAATATGCAATATATTGTAATATATAGAATCCGGTCTTTTATATAGGCCTATTGTAATATTTGATATAAAACTTACAAGTTCTACTTACTTGTTAGCCTCCATCTTGTGTCACGTCCATCTTAGCACCGACTTCTCAGATTGTTACATATATTTCTATTTGATCATTGTTAACACTAGTATTTCATCTTGGTTGTTATAATAATTATGTTTTATAACCAGAGTCCAGCTATGTGGTTTTTACTGCGAGAACTTCGCTTTTCCACATTAAACAATGGATTCTTTTTCCCACAGGGTTTTTTTTCAATCCGCTGCGATGGCATCAAACAGCTGGATCTCCTATTTTAACTTGTTTTAATTATGACAGCGATGTTAAAACTGTGTTTTAAAGTGACTTTTAGATATACAAGAACTTTTTATTATTTAGTGTTTTTACCTATTTTCTATATATTACTCATTCACATGTAAATAACTTAATTAAACCAACCTGTCCATTAAATATCGTGCAATAAACAACAATGTCCTAAGGGCAGATAACTGTTCGTTGTATTAATATGTAACCAAGAGATAAAACCGAAACTTTTTAACAACTAAGGTATATTCACAACCTTTTAACTAATTAGAAAGGTGAGAATCGTGGCCGTGATGGAACTTGGTCATACATGTTAATGTTACAAATGTCATCATTAATCGGCAGAATATGCCGCCATTTTCACCGGGTTAACCAATGTGCGACGTCAAGGACGTTAAGGGTTTGTGAACGTTATCTTCCATATTTAATATATTATAGAATGATTTACTAACTGTATTTTATTGTTATTCATGTCATGACATAACCTTGAAATAAAGGAACGGGCATATTGAACGTATTATTAGTCTTAGTCGTTAGACATTGAAGGAGGAAAACAACAGAATATAAGACGCCAGCTCGGAGATCCTGACAAGTCCAGCTATTTGGCTATCCCACTCTCCCATCCCCACATTTATTTTATAGTAGACATCGATACGGACAGGGTGTCGATAACCTTACAATATAAGATTTAGATAAAGAGCTGACAGTTCTTGCTATAATAGTTCTTGTTGCTTATGGTGGGCCTATAGGAGGCGTGATTCAAGCTCCTGTCTGTTTTAAAAATATTTTTTATCATTTTTATACTCATCTCATAAATTATAAATATTATTTATTAGTTAATAAACAATTAAATATTGTTTTTAAATCATTTATATATAATGAAAAATCAACATCCATATGTATACATATTGGTGTGCACGTAAAAAACCCATTGACAGTTGGAAATCGAGAAAGAGGTTCATGGAAAGGCCACTGTCTGGGTAAAATTCTCCTACCTCACATTGTCCATAAAACCATAGAAATAAACATTACAATATGTTTTTTTGCTAACTGTCAGTCTTTTTACACGCTTGCCACTGTGTTCACGACTAGACGTGGGTTTTTCATACAACCCAATCTACTTGTCAGCCAAAAAGGTGAAGATCAGGCTTGGTATTTTCATTATATAACTGGTTTTCTAGTTTAGATAACGCTGGTACGAAATATTTTGCCTTGGTTTACTTATCAGTAGGCCACGGGTTTGATTTTTATGGAAGGGAACAGTGTCTAGTCATTCGGGTGGGACAAAAAACGCTGCTGTCCGGACAGAACAGTGAACCGGTAAACCTGATTTCACTTGAATTGGGCCAGGGCTTGGATTTTATTTTAATTATCTGGATTATTATAGGAAATACGTCCACATAACAGCCATGTCTTGACAGCTTCTGATCCGAAAGCAAAACATTAATAATGTTAAACAAATTTGACATGGTTGCCTTCAACCTCTATCCTGTTCGGAAAAGAAGAGTGACTCGGGAACAGAATGTCCCAAAACTGAATATTTATAGGATTCGTCATCCTTTTATACCAGATGTGGAACAAAATCATTCAAAACCACAGCCTCTAACTGTGGGACGGAAGGTTATGGAATGCCGAGTATCGATTTTGTCCTCCAATGACTTCAATACTTCATAGTAAATTCGAAAGAGAATCTGTTAGAACATCGGTGTAGGACGCAGGGCCTGGCAAGGACAGGGCCTAGTGTTGTAGGACGCAGGGCCTGGCAAGGACAGGGTCTAGTGTTGTAGGACGCAGGGCCTGGCAAGGACAGTGTCTAGTGGTGTAGGCCGCAGGACCTGGCAAGGACAGGGTCTAGTGGTGTAGGACGCAGGGCCTGGTTATCTAGCTGTTTGGATGGGACAAAAAATCGAGATCCCGTGTACAAATAGGCAGACACGTAAAAGAACCCTTGACAGTTGAAATTCGAAATAAGAGTAGACTGTAGCCTCTTATACCACACTGTAAGGTGTAAACTGGTCTTCATTATTCCAGATATTAAACCCCATTTCTTTAAGCAGCAATCGAGTCACAAGATTTATGACAAATGGGCGGGGGGGGGGTAACTCTAAACGGTAAGGTCATGCAACGCTGAATATGGATAGGATTCGTCCTCTGATGACCCCAGGGCAGTTGGATGGTCAAACACTTCCAGTTGCCATGGTTTCGATACCCCACATGCACGTAAGTAAGGTTACCTGTGCAACCTCGTTGGTTTTCTATGAGTCTTCCGGTTACATGAAATTAGATCACATGTTAGTCCCTAAATGTCATGGTTTAAACCCTGTTTATCTTTCTTCCTCGTGCATAGGGGTACGGCCAGGGGGTGGGTGGGGCAAAATGACTTTTCGGGCAGACAAGTAAAGTAAACACAGAAATTGTTATTAAATCTAGGTGGCAAACAAAAGTGCCCGAACTCTAATAACACACTAATTTGACACCAAATAATTACACCTCTAACTGCATGCTGGCCACAAACGGTGCCATCTTTAGTTTATTTTATCGCTGATAGATGGCCCTGGGATAGCCTGGTACAGAATCAACATGTCAGCCCCCCAGTGGACGTAGGCGAGTTTGACTTTCCGACTGGCAAAGTGCTATATCAGTTTAGTAAAATGTTTGTTCCAGAACATGTATTTTTCAAAGAATAAGAAATAAACGTGGCAACAATGCATACAGTAGTGACCCTATACATGCCATATATATGTTACCGGTATGCACCAAGATGCAAGCTCGAAACATATTCTTCCAGGGGGGTCACGGTGGCTTGGTTGGCAAGACGCTGACTCGCTAGCCTGGAGGCCGTGTGTTCAATCCCTGCACTGGCATGGAAAGTTCATCCAGATTTTCCGGCGTGGTTCCCTCTTGTCAGTGGTGCAGGATGGAGGGCCTGACAAGGAAAGCTGTGTCTAGTCGTTCGGATGGGACGAATAACCGATGTCTCGTGTATACATTGGCGTGCACGTAAAAGATCCCTTGACAGTTGGAATTCGATATAAGAGTAGGCCGTAAGATCAGTTTGCAGTTTGAATTCGATAAAAGAGTAGGCCGCTGTCCGGGCAAAATTTCCCTCATAGCACACTGTATTGTGTATGCTCGTCTTCATTAGGCCAGTTAGAAACAGAGCAGTAGGACGTTAAACCCCATTTCATTTCATGTCTTCCTCTGTTGCGATGGGACATCCAGCTGCTCTACTATGACTGTCATAAGCATAGAGATAAGATAGGTGGAGGCTACTGCTGGCCTGGTATATGCCTTGCTTGTGGGGCAGAGAAAATCCCTTTGTTGTAGTTTCTCCTCAAGTTCAGACAATCAGACATTAGTAATGTTAGTGCAATGTCTTCTGTTTGGATTGGCCAAACATCCGCACACTGCTAAAAGTTGATAAAATTGTTGATAAAATTCACAGCATGTCAATGTTACATCTGAGCACGACAAGTATTTTCCACTTTTGTCTTCAATTCCTTCCATTTTGTGCATAGTTGCATCAGATGTGTGTCCCTACCGCCACCCAGGGCTGCATGGTGGCATCAGTTGTGTGCCCCATTCACCACCCAGAGCTGCATGGTGACCCCCCCCCCCACCTAAACTCCCAATTTAGGAACCATAATTGAAAAACGGGTATTGGATATGTCTAATAATGTGAAAATACATGTCTGGTTGGAATTTGACATTTCTGGTAAAAGAACAAATTGCTCTATGCAAGAAAGGGTTAAAACTATAGCTTCTATTCACAACGTTGTCGGAAAAGGGGACGAGGAAAGTCACGCAACGCTGACCGACAGACAGGGTGACGACTATATACGCCTGGGCGGTCCCTGGGCCCTCGCCTCAAGTCCTAGAATGGTAGCCACCCCAATATAAAAATTGCTTCCGCCGGCCCTGTAGAACACAGATCCTATTTCTATTTATAGTTCAAATTTCTTTTATTAGTCTCCGAGACATTTTAAATAAACCACATTATTTTTAAAATACTCGTATTGTTTAGGAAACTTGATGCGAGGTTTGCACTGAATTATGAGGAGATATCACATTGTATGGCGTATACCCGTCATCATTAGTCCATTTTGAGCAGAACGGGAGTTTAAAAATCCTATTTCATTTCATTTCCATCAATTTTAAAATGTCTATAATTTGACATTTGTGTTGATTGGTGAATCAATGAAAAATACCATATTAAAGCAATGGTTATATAAATATGTTTTTATTGTATTTTTTCTATGTCTGTAAAAATGTCTGTAATTTGATATTGTTGTTGATGTTGGTGAATAAAGCAACACTTGTCAATGGTTATATAAATATGTTTTTATTGTATTTTTATTTATTGTTTGTAAGATTTGTGTTTATTTTGTGTTGATATAATTCCAACAATTATGCTGTTGTTTGACGGGAAGTAATCCAGGATACTGCTTAGTCAGTCAGCGTCTTACACACTTAACCACCGGGGCTACCATATTGCTTAAATTATATTTCTCAATTGAGAACGTTCAGAACCCATTGTTGTAAAACTATTTAAACATACATTATGCAAGAGCTAAATCGGATTATTGCAAGTCTTAATTTAGGCTTCAGATGTTATAAAAATTATAAATTAGATCTTTATTTAAACAACAAGCCCAAAATCAACTCTGTAGACCCACGGATGGCTCGGCTACAGCTCGGATTTAAATAGGATTTCACTAATTGATTAAATCAAATATGGGGCAACCTGATGAAAATACGTCAGTTAGATCGAGGCTAAATGATAGAGCGTTTCCGTATGCCATTGAAAACTTTACTTGATAATCGAGATATGTAGGTGGAGTTAACGCCTGTCAATCAAACGATCGGCGAAGGTGAAGACGCATTTCGCTACCATTTCTAGTCAAATATTACAACGATGATAACTATGTTCAGAATAAAGTAATTTGACTGAAATTTTCAATATATTCTTCTTTCATCATCTACTTTTGAACTGTTATAGCAAGAATGGCCAACTCTCTATAAAAATCTCCCATAATGTATCTTTAACCAACCAACTATTTAGTCAATAATCTCAAGCAATCTTTGCGATGTTATATTGTGTACCCAATCCACTGTTCACAAGCCTTTTGTCGGGCTATAACATGGAATCTACGGGCGTACAGACCCGATAGATGTTATAGTTGCAGTGCAGATATGAAATGCACGAAAAATTCCAGTTTACAGTGGCGGATCTTGGATCTTGGATCTTTCCGTGTACCCCCGCCCCCCAGCCCCTAAGAAAGATTGGAAAATTGGACTGCCCAAAACGCGTTTTTCGTTTTCCTGTTACTCCAGCACGTGAATACAGCAAGGGGTTTAATGTCCTACTTATCTGCAGCCTACTCTTATTTCAAATTCCAACTGTCAAGGGTTATTTTATATATACTGAAGTCCAAAAGAAAGTATACACACTAAAAATATGACTAAGTTTTGTTTAAATCAAAAAAATGTGATAAAACTACACTGAACATGTCTGGTGCTTCCAAACTCAATATTTCTAAGCAAATAAAAGGCAAAACAAATGAACATTGTACCCAAATACCGAATACAATGGAAAAACGACTTTGTTTGAAACAGGACGAAATGAACAGTGTATACTTTCTATTGGACTTCAGTATAGTAATAGATTATAGCAGAGGCGCTAGCCTCAGACCTGAAAATAAAATTGAAAATCTCCAAATATAAAACTGAAAGAATACATTGAATTCGGGGAGAAAATTGATATGGACACCTTGTGGTCGAAGGAAAGGGCCCTTGAATCGCCCGGATAAATTCAAGCAAAGCACTTCGCAACAGCGTTAGGTAAACCAATTAAAATAC